CGATCTACCCCCCGCGTCGGAATTGAATCCGGAGCCCCACCACTACTGTAATCTATCAGAAGCAAGAAAGTTCGATCTCAACAAGTTACCATTTGACCAAGGGCAGCATACTCCAATATATCTTTTAGGCCGGCTTTTTTTTTTTTTTTTTTTTTTTTTTTTGTTTTTGACAGCAAGGTTGAACGACCATGAAATGCTAGAGATGCCTTCGCTTTCGATCCGCCGGAAGCAGAGTAGTCAGTCTGTACTTAGGTTCGGTGCAAACTCTAACCTTCGATAGCTACTCTTAAGAAAACGACCCTACAAATCCCCGTCTGCGACACAGCAGCACAGGCAATGCCCTCATTTTCTGGACCGTGCCTCAGGTGTTACGACAAGAAGAGGAAGAGGAGTAGGATGTCGCATGTGTATCAATGCAGAGCCCGGCCACCCTGACCTGTCAACAAGTTATCCATCATATCATGTCGATGACGCATCACTGCAACTCAAAGCTGGCCGGTGCAGCTCACTCGCTGCCTGTGAAGCCTGACATGAAACAGCGTGGAAGAAACCAGCTATCCAAATGTTCTTTTCTTCACGCAGGCGTCCAGACTGGCCGAGTCGAGAAAACGGGGTGGTCACGGTATTACCAGGATTACAGGCATGTGCAGGCGCTCTGGCTGCGTGCCGGCGTATGCGGGTGTAAAATACACGAGATACGATGCAGACCCGCCGCCTGTGCATGGACGGGCCAATGGGAACGCGGCGCCAGTGAGGCTGTGCAAGCTCGCTGCGTCATTCTGGGGCTTTTCTCTTCTTGCTTCTCTCATTGCTCACTCCTCGGTGCTTCAGTCTCTCGTTGCTCAATGGCGCTGTGTGTGTGTGTGTGTGTGTGTGTGTGTGTGCTCGTTGCTGACTGATTGTGTCTTCGCGCTAGCCACCACTCAGAAAAAGCCATAGAAGAGAAAGAAAATACGCCCTCGCGCGGTTTACCTTGTGGCTGTACGCTTCTCCGCACTGTCCTTATTATCTGATCATACATACCGTTAAATTACGCTTCGAACCTTGGATTTGCAAGTGCTTGAACCCTTGGGTCGGCCTTCCTGATTCGTGCCCTCCAACAAGTTTGAACCCGCCTAAAGATTAAGGCAGAATGAGTCGTCCAGGCAAGTGCCTGATCCGTGGATATTAATCCCGCTCCTCCCACCGCTCCTTGCCCTCACAATTGCTTTGCTGGTGCCAGAGTCCCATGGGGTCACTGAAATTTCCTGCACTCTACATTGCCTGCCCACACAGCTCGCTGACCCTGGCGAACCAACCCCGTTGCATCCTACAGCTCCGAATACTTCTTCATCTTCGTCCACGAGGAACATCTTCCGGGCGTTCCACAGGGTCGGCTCTACTCAATCCAGCATGACTAGAAATGGCTCAATCGACGTCCATGAGCGTTCATCGCTGCTGCTGCACCCTCGTACAGTCCATGAGGAGCGCTTGCCTCCAGCTTCGCCTTACCTAGATGACCCGCGTTTCTGGGTTCGCTGGCCAGCCCACGTGGCGTACCTCACCTGGGCAACGCTGGCGAGCAACTATGTCAACCTCCTCTTGGTCTTCGTGCCGCTGGGCATTGTCTCCGGCGTGTTGCAATGGAGTCCAGCGACTGTCTTCACCCTAAACTTTCTTGCCATTATACCCCTCGCTTCGCTCTTGAGTTTCGCAACCGAGGAGCTGGCCGCCGTCATGGGTCAGACCCTAGGCGGCCTGATGAATGCGACGTTTGGAAACGCGGTAGAATTGATTGTAAGCTCGCCGTCACAGATTGATTGAAACATGGCTTCAAGGAGCTAACGGTACTGTCATAGGTAAGCATTGTCGCGTTAAAGGACAACCAAATCCGTGTCGTTCAAGCGAGTATGCTTGGGAGTATTCTGTCAAATATACTGCTAGTGCTTGGCTGCTGTTTCTTAATCGGGGGTATTCGTTTCCCTGAGCAGGAGTTCAACACCACCGTTGCCTCAACTATGTCGTCCTTGATGGCGGTTGCTTCGGCCTCTCTTATCATTCCAGCTTCTCTGTTTGCGGCTATGTCAGACTCCTACAACACCGCCCCCGAAAACACAAGGAACAGCATTCTCCTCTTATCCCGCGGCACGGCCATCATTCTTTTGGTTCTCTATGTTTTGTATTTGGTTTTTCAGCTGAAAACCCACTCTCGCTTTTTTGAGGATCAACAGAGCGCCGTAGTTGAGGCTGAAGCTGGTGCTGCTGAAGCCGAACCGGAAGCCGAGGATCACATTCTTAACCCGTTTGCTGCCGGTGTAGCTCTGATTGTTATTACTATCATGGTTGCAATCTGCGCAGAGTATCTCGTTGGCAGCATTGAAGGTATGGTAGAAAAGACCGGCATGAGCAAAACCTTTATTGGTCTGGTTTTGATTCCCATTGTGGGCAATGCCGCTGAGCATGTCACTGCTGTCGTGGTGGCATATAAGAACAAGATGGATTTGGCTATTGGTGTCGCTATTGGAAGCAGTCTGCAAATCGCGCTCTTCGTCACTCCATTCCTTGTTATTCTCGGCTGGATTATGGGCGTGGATATGACATTGCACTTCCACATCTTCGAAACAGTCTCCTTTTTTATTTCTGCTCTGGTTGTTATCTTCCTCATTCAAGATGGAAAGTCTAACTACCTGGAGGGCGGTTTGTGTCTGGGAATGTAAGTTGTCTTTCTTCCTTGAAAGTATATCTTCGCTGTGGCACTAACTAGAGCGGTACGCAAAATAGGTACATCATTCTTGCGATTGCCTTCTACGTCTATCCAGATGACACGGTAAATTGATCGATCTGCCGTCGCGGTGAAAGCAGCAATTTTGCCTTTCTCAAAACTTCCAGGGCGAAAATTGGCCCACCAGGAGCATTTGAATAAGTGACATCTCTCCAGTTGTCAATATTGTATTCATCGTATGGGCAGCTTACTGCGCTGCTTGTTGATAGAACTGCTGTTGTGCGCAGTGTAAAAAATTACAAGTTCTTGTATTTCTCTATGATTAGGAATTTGAAAAGTGCGGGCGGGCGGTGTTGTGCGTTACTCCAATTTCTTACAAGTGAATTTTGAATCTATTCAAAAAATTTTGCAAAGCTTTCGAACGAGTGCCAATATCAAAGACCAGTTCGCCTCATAGTTCTAAAGTATCGAAATAAACGGTGGATCGCGGCTCGGAAAATCAGTTTCGCCGTGACAAGAATCTTGGGTCTGCTGCAGCATGGTAGAACCCCGTCTGCCATACAACGCACCACAAGGGCATCTTGCGGTGCTTGAATATTTGAACTCCAGCAAGAATTATATGCGCGTACCTTAATAATATCGCCGATTTCCACCCAACCCGATCATAATGGCGCCGCGGCTCAATCCTCTCACAGCGAGAAATGTTCTCCGCCAACCGTACCGATCACTTGTAGTATCGTCTCGACAGAACAGCACACAATCCCCCTTCAATTGGTCGGCCGGACGAATTGCGTTTGCGGCAGAAAAATCAATTGCCCAAAATTCCCAGCGACTCTACTCGTCAAAATCCGACAAGGATATCCCAAAGGAAGACGAACAGCCTACCCAGAACGAATTACCCCCAGTCAGCGAGGAGGCTGCAGCGATTGATAAGATTCTTAGTGGGAAAAAATGCGATGGAAGCGCTCCTGGATCCCCCGAGCTCGAGCAGGGTACACCGATTGACGAGGTTGGTTAGATTTCCATCAACGTGACAGAATAAATAACTGACCTGACTGAAATGTTGTATCAGGTCTTAAAACGAGACAAGGACGCCCTGAAATATGCACCAAAAGTTTTCTTCCAAGACCAAAACAAGAAGGGTTCTCGTTCCTATTCCACGTCCGCAAGACTCCATCAAGAAGTCACACAGCATCCCTCGGGAGTTCCTGAGGACCCGTCGATAGCCTCGGTTGCAGACATGATTAATGTTGCTACAGAACATGCAGTTGAGAGACTACCAGGGCTGAAGTTTGGCTTGCCTTCACAACTTCCCAAAACGGAGAACGTGAGGAGTCGATACGATCCTGTAGTCGAACAGTTTACCAAACTACTCATGGAAGATGGCAAACTAAGCCGTGCGCAAAAGGTAAATGACGCCATAATCCAATACCATTGCTTGTTTCATATTTTTTTTTTTTTCTTTCTCTTCCATAGTGGCTAAACGTGTGTACAGGATATGGAATTCATCCTTGACCATCTTCGTACTTCAGCTCCCCCCAAGATCGACCCCAAGCGACGCCTCCTGACGACCTTACCTGGTCCCCAGCTTCCTCTCAACCCCGTGATATACCTCAACCTCTTGGTCGATTCGGTTTCTCCTCTGATCAAGATTCGCCAGCAAAAGGGTCTGGCTGGTGGAGGTGCTTCGGTCCCGATGCCCGTTCCTCTCGCCATGCGCCAAAGACGCCGTACAGCAATTCGATGGATTTTAGAAGCTGCGGAGAAGCGGAAAGATGGAAAATTAGCCATGCGCGTGGCTAGTGAGCTTGTTAGCGTTGCTGAAGGTCGAAGCGGTGTTTGGGACAAGAGGGAGCATGTCCATAAGATGGGTGTCTCCGGCCGGTCCAACTTGCAGCTGAGAGGCCCTCAGGGCGGCCGATAGTTGTGTTTATGAAATGCAGATGGACCAGTCTGTTCATATATGTATATTATCAACAGTTTTTATTTTCTTCGTTCCGGCTCAACCATAATGGATTTCCTTCTTTCTCCTTGTCTTCACGTTGGTCATTAGTTAACTATGTTAGTTAATGTAATCCACCCCCGAACCGCCACCACCACCGACCCGCCACTTTTCTCCGGAAAACGCGCTATATATTAATTTTAACCTGAAATTTCAACCCGAAATAATAATTATATATAAAAAATTAATTACCAGTACAATTAGGATATTGAGGCCTTCTATACCTAAAAATTCCATACTTACTACATTGAAATTAGCGGCGTACACATGATTAAGAGGATAGAAGCTCAGGCTTGGTTAGAATAGTAATAGCAGCTTAAAATACTTCAACTAGCTTATTTATAAATGCCTATACTTTCTCTCTAGTAATTCCTTACTTATAAAATATCTGCTTTTTAAATCATATATATTTTTGCTTCTCTTTCTCATTTATAGCATATAAATCATAAACTTTCTTCTATATAATAAAAAGCTTATTAATATTAGTTTTATAGACCTTTAATATATAATTAATTATTTTATTAATAATCTTAGATAAGCTTTATATATGCTGACTAATTTATTACTTAATTATACTTAACTAATACTTAAATTAATACAGATTTTGAGATATTTATAAGTAAGATAATTATAAATTATTAAATAGATAAAAAGGTAGTATTAGAGTCTTTAATTAAATAGTAATTTATTAATAAACTTACTCTAGATCTAATAGTATTAATCTAATTACTTTAAAGTTATTCTAAATAGTCTTAGCTTTATATACTATTATATAAGCCTCTAAAAATATAATAAGAAAGTTAATTTTATTAATATAATTAAAATTAAGTCTTATCTACTACTTAATAAGCTTTCTATATTATTGCTTTAAAACTATAAAACAGTTAATATCAAGAGACTATAATAGATATAAGAAATATAAAGATATATAAATTAGAATAATATTATTCTTAGTATATATATAATTAAATTAAGCAATTAAATAGCTTCTATAGCTATCTAGAATTAATATATAATATTATCCAATTATCTAGCTATTTATATAAAGAATAAAATAATTAATAAGCTAATCTATATTAATCTAATCTATAATCCACCTATTATTACTAATATTAATCTTCTAATTATCTGGAAAAGTCTTAAACCAGCCTTTCTGAGAGTATTTGATAGCTTTAAAGATTATGTATAAGGGTAAAGTCCAGCTAGTAAAGTTGACTATCTTAATTATAGTTACCTATTCTCAATTATTAGGTTATAGTAGATATGGATAGTTATATTGATTACTTCTAGTAATAACCTTTGCGTTTGCATAGAGGCCTATTGTAAAGCTAGTCTCATTAAAGTTATAGATATTCTCTGATAGGATTTTATTGTGACAGGGGTTGCAAGAATGTAGCTGGGATTCGGCTTCGGCCTAGGAATAGATTTGAATATAGAATATATATATATATATGCTCAGCAGCTAATCACTGCTTTATGAAGGCCTAAGGCCACCTGCTATTATAAGACAGTGTGTGTTAAGCCACTAGTCTAATTAGCAGCAGGAAGCTGGATAAGGTCATATATCCACTATACTTTGAAGTTATTCCTAACTTTATCTAGGATTCTATCTTACAGCTATCCCTCTTTTTATAAGAGTATGTCTCTAAGCTTAAAATTTTATAGACTTATAAGATTTAATATATAGAATTAGTAATTCAAATTTTATAATAAAATTCTTATTCTTAATAAAGAAATTAAAGATAGATAATAAGTATTAAATAAAGGATTAAATATATAAAAAGTAATTAAAATTAATACTAGTAATAAACATATATAAATCTTTATCTTTCTTATTCTAACTTCCTCTTTCTTTCTCTTTTTTTCTTTAATCTTATCTTCTTTCTTAATAATAAATATTATCTTAATATTATATTTTTTTATTAAAATTTTATTAAATATAGATTTAGTATATTTTATATTATTAATTTCTTACTTTTTTTATATTAATTTAATGCTTAAAGTAATAATAAGATAATTTTAATTATCTTATAATTAAATATAATAGTTAATTTAAAATATCTAATTCTAATAATTTAAATCTATTTTAGCTATCTCTCTCTTTAAAAATAATGTCCTAATACTTAAGAAAATATTAATATAATAATAATTTACTATTATTAATCCTAATTTATCCTTATATTCAGAGTATCTTATAAAAATGTTATTTATATAAATAAGTTGGCTATATAAGATAAGTCATAAAGTCAGGTAAATATTAATATAGATAAATAGGTAGCCTGAATCTCTATATACTTCTAAAGGTCCTTTAGTTAAGCCTCTTAGTGCAGTCTCTATTTCTGGTGCTATATCTAATAACTTCTAGCCCCCTATATTTTCAAAGGGCAAGGTGAGTAATAATATTCTATATACAGGATTTTGATACTAATAGGGTATAAAAATATATAGTTAAGTCTTTATATAAACTTTTATACTTAGCCTGCTTTTAATTTTAAATTACTTTAAATTCTTATAACTATATTAAATAGTAGTATACTTATTATAATACTATAACTTAATTATATATATATTATTAAATATTTAAATATAAATGTATCCTTATAAATATATATTTATAACTCTAGTTTAAATATTTATGCTATTAAATATTTCTTATTTTATAACTAATACTAATAATTTATAATATCCTAAATCCCTATTAGATTATCTAAAAGCTTTAATTAATAAATTCTATTAAGATTTAATAGTAAGAAACTTTAATAATTAATATTATATATTAAATAAAGCACTTAAAACTTTAAATTATATATCTAAAAAATATATTATTAAGATAAATTCTAATACTAAAACTAATAATAAAAATATAATCTTAACTTAGTCTAGTCCACTTAAAAAGCATTTAATTATAATAATTTATGCTATCTTATTAAAGAAGTTTCATCCTTACTATTCTTATTTCTAATTAATATATTTAGCTAGTAACCCTACCAACTTTAGTAGGGAAAGAGGGTCTCCTTTACTTCCCCTTATTAAGCTGTAAGGCGGAATCCTGGATGGAGTTGGGAATAGCTTCAAAGTACAGCGGGCACGTGACCTCACCTGGCTTCCTGCTGCTAATTGGACTAGCAGCTTGGCACACACCGCCTTATAATAGCGGGTGGCCTTAGGCCTTTATAAAGCAGCAATTAGCTGCTGAGCATATGTATATATACATTCTATATTTAAATCTATTCCTAGGCCAAAGCCAAATCCCAGCTACATTCTTGTAATCCCTGTCACAGTCTAATTGCTTACTTTATAAAAGCCTAGTAATTATTGTCTGGAATAGCTCTGAAATATATCTCTCTATATACCCAGAGATAAGCCCCTAAGGATCTATTATCTTTAGTTAAATATCTTTTAAATGTTGAAGAGATTCTAATAAAGGAAGAAGAAGTGAGAATCATAAAGTTAGAGTTAAGTAATAAAGGGAAAAGTGAGGCTAATATATCTTTAATAATAGCTGATAAGGTAAATATTAAGGCTATAGCTATAGAACTAGTAGTTATAAAAATTTAAAATAAAGCCCTAGTATCTATAATTTTATTAAAGTTATTAATAAAATATTTAGAGAAAGATCTTCTAGTAATAATAATAGATGAATTTATTAAGTTTGAAGCTAAAATAGCTAAAATTATAGAGGTATAGTACTAAAGAATTATAATATAAACTATACTTTAAAAGCTCAAGGAGCTGAAGTAATAGTTATTATATTTATTATTAATAAGCTTATTAATATAGGGCTTTAATATATAGGAAGGTTTGAATTATTCTAATCTAGGGGAGAAAAGAAGAGAATAAAAGGTAATTAATATTAAAATGACAATTGAGGAAGAGTCACTAAGTTAAAAGAGATTATGAGTATTTATAGAAATTGTTTCTTTGAAATAGCTAAAGTTAGTACTTAAAAGGAAATATAATGGTACTAATATAAAGAAATTAGAATTTTTTAAGCTTTAATTTAAATATTATTTTATGAAGTATAATTATTATTATGACTTTAAAGGTACTAATTGATGGAAAATATTGATTGTGATTGAAGGGCTAAACTAGAAAGTATTTAATTAATAGGATATATTTATGAAGAATAAGATAAAGATTAACTATATAATATAAAAAGACTTTAAATCCTTTCTGATAGATGTTATATATATTCTAGAATTATTGTGCTAGAATATAAATAAGCAATACTAATAGATATAATAATAAAAAGACTAAATTATATCTAAATTTAATGTCTATATCTAAGGATTAGAATATCTCTTAGAATAAATATATATAAATAAGAATTGGAAATATTATCTTGAAGATTAAATTATAGAGTCTATATATATTAAGGCTATATAATAAGACAATAAATCTAAAAAGTATAATAACTATATAGTATATCTTTAAAAGATAAAAGATTTTATACTAGAATAAAAAGAAGAACTTTAAGCTATTTAAAAGTAGGCTATAAAGCTAAATTTAGATTTAAAAAATAAGATTTTAAATTAAAACTTAGACTAAAGTAATAAATCTGATTAAGGGGATAATTACTATAATAATTACTATTTTTAGAAGAAGTTTAAAATTGAAGGTTTTAAAGATAAATTAAAAACCTAGAAGTTGCTAATATATATTTATTATAATAAAAAAAGATATATAAAGGAGAACTATTACTCTAAGAATCTTAGTAAGAGATTTAAGAGAGATTTAAAATAACTCCCTAATAAAATCTAATATATTATCACAGTATTAAGGCTGCATATTATATAATTAAATCAAGGATTATATATTAGTATATATATCTATATATAAATCCCAAAAAACTGCATAAAAGTGCTTGTCTTAATTGATAAAGTTATTAAAGATAATTTTATAAACTAAGAATAGGCATAAAA